CATGATAAAGAAAACATCAGTAAGTTATCAACAAAAGGAATCTTCTCCCAACTGAAAAGCATCTTAGCCACTTTCCTTATCACTGGGACAAGAAACCCAACACCCACAACTTAAAGGAGGGTAGGTTTAGTTTGCTTTATGTTTCAGTCCAGATTCCATAGCCCCTAGTAAGAAACAGCATGGCAGAGTGGCCTGGCAGAGGAGAAGCTGCTCAGTTCATGGTGCACAGGAAGCAGAGATATAGAGAGGATCAGGGAAGGAAAATAGACCCTTGTCCCCCACACTCACAGTGACTTGCCTTTCAGGGCCAGAACCAGCCTCCTAACAGCAAGTCAGCCATAGCACCCGATAGTTTAATCATCTTTCAAAAGCCCTACCTGTGAGCCCTTGAGACTTGAGGAACATTTTAGATCTAAGCTATAACAACATACAGAAAGCACAGTTACATCAGAGGCCAGAAGGCCTTTCTCCCAAATTGGTGAAAAATCAAGACTGTCTACCATCACTATACACCACTAGCACTTCAGTGGGCCTTTAGCTAGGGCAGCCATGTAATGGAAGAAGCAAAATGCATACAGCCTGCCAAGTATAGCAAAAAGCTCCACTCACAGATTACATGATCATCTGTAGAAAATCTCCTGGAATCTACCCCCAGAGCTACTGGAACTAATAAAGGACTTACATGGTTGCAGGACATTAAATCAATGTACAGACATCCTTTGCTTAACTCCTGAGTTCCAGTCCCAAGACTGTTATTAATTGAATCAGTTGCTAGTGAGGTATTGTATTTAGTATGTAAATTATAGTACTGAGAACAAAGAAATGGTGAAAGGAAACTCCAACTTGATGACTTCACTTTCATTTGCATAACTCTTGCATGTAGTACTCTAATGTATAACAGAACATAGATCTGCAGTAATCTGTACTGTATGGTAGAGTACAATCAGCAAATCAGCACATATAGTTAACAAGTATACTGCATAAAAAAGACATTAAGTCTTAATAAACAATATGTAAGAACTATATAGAAAAGAAAACATCATAAATCCAACTGGTGGGTGGTAAGTCTGAGCAGAGCTCTTCAGTTGCAAGTATAAACTGTCATTAAACAGTAGGTCAGTAAATGGAATGTTTATACAACATTGCACCTCTACACACTAGCAAAAATTAGAAAATGAAAATATTTAAACACAATTCATAGTTACATGAAAAATATGAAAGAGATAAATCTCAAGACAGATGTTTTTTAAAAGCCATCTGCTAGAAAACAAAAGTCATTGCTGAGAAATCATAAAGTGGAGAAAACCTAAGTACTAAATAAATGCAGAAAATACATTTTGCCCATCAGGCAGAAGACTTAATATTGTTAAAAGCTTTAGTATCATCTCAAGCAAAATCTCAGGAGGCTTGAAATTGAGAAAATTGACTGCTGTTTCTACAATTCTCATGGAAATATAAAAGGTTTAATATAGTGAAAAACCTTTATAAAAAACAACAGTCAGAGGATTAACATTGGCCTGATTTTAAGTCTTATTTTAAAGCAAAGAAACCAAGAAAGGTGGAGTATTGATGTAAGAAAAGGCAAACAGATCAATGAAGCAGAAGAGAGCCCAGAAATAACTCATGGTGTGTGTAAATAACAGAATTTTGACAAAAGCACAGAGGCACTTCAGTGTGGTAAATGTAACTTATGACCACCAGTGATAGTGGACCACTGAATATTCATTTATTAGTCAACTTCTGTGTGTGCTTTGTACCCTATGCCTGAAAAAGGGCTCAGCATGGATCACAGATGTAAAACCTAAAACTGCAAAAGTCCTAGGCAATAGGATGAAATTCAGTGATGGGTTATATGGAGATTTCTTAGACACAAAGTTCAATCCATAGCAGAGTGGATGTATTAGATGCCATCACAATGTAAGACTTTTCTCTTCAGGACATGCTAGGCCACTGAAAATTGAAGCCAATGAAGAGCAGACAGGATGGCAGATAAGTATGTGGAAAGATGTTCCCATCATTAGCCATTAGGAAAATGCAACCCAGACTACCATGAAGAACTATTAGATACCTATTAGAGGGGCTGCTATGATCAGGCTGCCACCATATCAAGTGTGGCCGAGTAGACAAGGGTATGAAACTCTCTCATGCAGTACTTGTGGGATGCACGTGGTGCAATCAGTTTGGAAAAGTTTGGATAGTTTCTCAAAGGTAAACACACACCTGCCAGAGGATCCAGCCATGCTACTGCAAAGCAGCTAGCCGAGAGCAAAGGAAGCGCTACAAGGAGCAACACAAGTGGCCATCACCAGCTTGTTCATTGTCGCAGCCCGTGTGCCCACATGAGGTGAGCTGGAAGCAAACAGGCCTATCTCCCGAGGAGTATGACTCAGTGAGAGAGAGGTGTGGCCTGCAGACATGTGCTATGGCATGCCTGAATCTGAAGTAATCGTACTGGTGGAAAAAGACAGCCCAAGACAAGTGCTGTACCTACTATTGACTCTACTGATGTAGACTGGTGGGAAATACAGAATCATCCCTAGCAACACGGAAGCCTGGGGCGGTAGGGTACAACAATACCATAGCAGGCAATTTGGGGGAGGCTCATTCTCCTGACGGTAGTGGAGGCTGTACGGATATGGACAAACATCAGTGCTTATCAAATTGCTCTTTATTGTAAGTGCAGCAAATACAGGCTAAGTATGCCTCAGTGAAGCCTTCCTGAAGGAGACCTCTCTGGCTTACAAGCCATAACTTTCCCACATCAGGGGAACAAATGGGGCTCACTGCTGTGTTAGGTGAAGTGTGTGTCCCTGCCTGGAGGGTCAGACAGCCTTTCCAGTCAGGCACTGGCTAGGTGAAGGGTGGCCCTGCTCTGTTAGCACTCGTGGGCTTGATGCAGTGGCTCTGGAGCTGTTGAATATCTGTTTTCATCATGTCTGGTAGCTCCCTAAGGTCTAAAGCAAATCACTCTGCTCAGCTCAGATACTGGAAGCAGGAAAGAGCTTTGCCCTGGTGCACAGGATGTGGGTCCATCTGCAAGCACTGGGGCAGCTCTCTGATTGTGGATCTGGATTGCCTTGCTGGGCTCAGATGGGCACATTGTGGGCATCCCTGTGCTTTCCCCATTGCTGGCATGAAAGGGACCTCAGATCCTTTGAGGTTGCAGCCCCAGAATTCCCCAGCTTTGGGATCTCTGACAATCAGAAGGGCCATGGATGCCAGGGTCAGTGAGGCACTGAGGGATGGCTTCTTGCCTTGAGCTGATGGAAACTGCAAACCTTTCCACAGCTGTGCTCATGGGTGCAGGGCTCTACTTCTGGGACCAACACAGGGCTCCCTTTTCAGCTTCCCTTCCATGCTCACAAGGCCCCAGGAAAGTCCTCACAGTCCATCATCATCCCTGTCATTCTCTGACCCTTGATGGGAGCCAGGGACCAAAGGCTACCACCGCCACCACTCACTCCCAGGCTCTGGCTTCTCCCTTTCCTGAAACCTGTAAGCCTGGGCAGATGCTGCATCTGGGAACCTGTTGGGCTTTTCATGAACACTGGGCTGCCTGTTCCTGCCCAGGAGGTATGCAGATTGAACAGGACACACGTGGAGGACCTGTGTGGTTAAGGTGTGTGGTGGCACCCTCTAGGATGGGCAGCAACTGGCTAGCCAGGGAGCTCCCACACCCAGACTCTCGTGGCTCCTGTGACTGCCCACCAGGATGACTCTCCATATGCCAAAGCTGCACAGCAGGAGAAAGGCTGGACTCCAAGAACTTCCTGCCATCTGCCTGTCACCTGTTCCAGCCCACACAGCTTGGCCAGAAAAGGCACAAGCTCAGCCCTTGGCCCTGAGTCAGATTCCCTTTCTTAAGCCCCAGCCCTGGGGGGGGGGGAAGTCCTCCTTCTGCAGTCAGAGTGGCCCGTTCTTATCAAAAACTAGTAAGTGGCTTCAGTGCACACCAGTGTAGTACTCACCAAATCCTCATAGCCATTCTGTACCAGAGATGAATGGGGACTGAGTCCAGCACAGGTAATGTGCTAAAGGTCATGAGCTTTACTGTGCCCCTGGGTGATGTGGAAAAAACAGAGGCTTGGGTGACCTGTTTGTGTGCACGTGCTCTGAGACACTCGTCTGTGAGAAGGTCAGTACCCGGTGGGTAGAAGATGGTCACTGTCACAGCCCTGCTCAGAGCCAGCGGTAGAGCAGGATCTGGGGGTGAGATGGGAAGTATCGTGCCCCATCCCTGCCTTCATCAGTCTTGGCTCTCCTCTTCCAACAAGCCCCCAGAAGTGACAATGATGTACAGGTGCTCCTCCCTGCTGTACAGGGGTGGCCTCTCAGCAGGGGTGAAAGGTCCTCTTCCACATGGGACATGAGTGGGGAGCTCAGAGGGTGTCCCTGTGGGCAGAGAGGAAGAGCCAGGGCTCGGGGAAGCAGCATGGATGAAGGGACACTGGCTCTCTCTGGGGCAAGGAGGGCAGGGCACATGCACAGTGGTGTCACCAGAGGAGGAGTCAGGGTTCCAGTGCAGGTACCAGTGCAGGAAAGGAAGGGAGGGGAGAGAAACTGGTGGTGTGGTCAGTACCAGGCCAGAGCCATGAGTGGGTGTGAGATGCAGCTGCCTGGCCCACTGGAGACAGTGAGGCTGTCCCGGAAGTCAGCACAGCAAGAGATGGATAGGACAGGTCCGCCCTGGCCACATACTAGACCTAAATAAAGGTTACAGGACAGTGAGGATCTTGGAAGGACAACATGAGCAGGGGAACAGCTGCATGTCAAAAAGCAGGGAATAACCAGGGATGTTGGTAGCTACTTAAGCTACTCTACAGAGACATGAGCAACAGTCCCTGGAGCTCTCCTGTACTTCCCAGTCCCATCTGCTGGTTCCATGGAGAAGAAGTGATTGACCTCAACCCAAGGAGATGCCTCACCACAGCAAGGGCCTCTGCAGGCCAGTGCCACTGTGTGGGCAGTCAGACAACTCTGCCTCTCCTCTCACCCCTCAGTGTTGATCAGCGTGGGCACTGAGACCCTCCTTCGGGGACAGTTCAAAAGCCTGGCCTTCTATCTGCTGTGAGTACATGCACCCTGACCTCCCCACTGCAGAGTGCCCACTCACCCCACACATGTCCACATGCACTGATCCAGAGGTACTGACTCTATCCCAGAGCAGGGGGAGTCCAGGAGGCTTCTAGGATGTCCCATGGTATAGCTAGACTATCCCTTAAATCAACTAACTATACCTTATCCACCTAACCATTCACTTTCCCATCCATCTATACAACCATGCATCCATCCATCCCTCCATCCATCCATCTACTTATCTACCCACCCACCCACTCACCCATCCATCCATCCATCCATCCATCCATCCATCCATCCATCCATCCATCCATCCATCCATCCACCCATCCATCCATCCATCCACTTATCTACCCACCCACCCATCCCCTTATTTACCTACCTACCCAGCCAGTCAGCCAGCCAACCACCTACTTGTCCATCTATCTACCCACCCATGAATCTACCCACCCACACATGCATCCCTTTAATCATCTCTTATTCAAGAAACCTGAACAGAGCTCCTATTTGGAAGGTGTGGGGTAGGGCCATGGGCTGTAGATTTGAGCTCTCTCCCATGCCAAGTGCAGCTCAATGCCTTATTTGTGTTGCTTCATTTCATTCTGATGGCCCCCAGTCCTTAGGAGAGGGGCACACTAACCTGCTTGTGCAGAGGAGGAAATTTAGAGGGAGCAGGCAGCAGCCCACACCAGCAGGCTCCACATTGCAGGCCCAGGTTCCTCAGGCCCCATCCTTTCTCCTTTGCTGCAAGTTACCCCGACAAGAAGATCAGAGCACAGTGATATCCAGGGTCAGACCTGGGCTCCCTGTACCTAGGGCTTCCTGGCTGTCTCCTCCCAGTGGTAAAGGAAGCTGCTCCTTGCAGCCTCCAGATGCCAAAGGACTCCAAGCTGAGAGCTGCAGAAGCCTGTGGGGTCTTGGGCTGTGCCTTCCCCTTCCCTGCCCCATGTGGCTTCTGTACTGCAGTGGCTGCTGGTCCTGAGCAACTTCACATGTCACAGTACCTTGCTGCCCTTGGGCCCAGGGGCCACCCTCCTTGCCCCGTTCACACTGTACCTTCACACAGGTCTCTCTGAAGACCTTGACAACTCCCTCTGTCTCAGCCCTCACCATATTTCACATTGCTCTATTGTACCCTTGAATATCCATACCACTTGCCACCAAGCCACAGAGCATGGATGCCTTGGCCCATTGTGGGCTGGTGAAGCTGATTTCGTACCCCTGACTCCAAGCATCCTGCCCTGGGTACTGGGCCAACCTGAAGTTCCTACTGTCTGGGTGTTTATTGCTCTACTGCCATAGACACCTTCCACCCCGGCCTCTGCGCTGGGCTCTGTGGGGCCCTGGCATTAATGCAGATGATGCCCTCTGGCTCTGCCTCTCCCTGACATCTCTGCATGTCTTGAGAAGACCCAGGCCCCCTGCTCCTGAGCCTGAACCTCCACGCCTTGCACTTCAACCCCAAGGACCACACCATGCTAGGACTAGACAGGAAATCTGCATGAGCTGCATAGGCCTAGAGCATCAACCTCCCCCGTGCCCTGGGATGTAGAGTCAGGCTCTGCCTCTGGCTGCTTTGCAAAGCATAGGCCTTGGTCGCTTCTTAGTCACACAGCTCTGGCACCTAAGTGCCAGGTCCAAGTCTTGCTCCTGCTCCTGACCAGCCACATGACCGTAGCAGAGGGCTGGAGCTCTCTATGCCTTAGTATCCTCATCTGTAAATCGAGGGAGCGCTGATCATAAGATTGCTGCCAGTGCCAAGGGAGTCGGTGTTCTGAAGGTTTCAGAATTTGGTATACAGCAATCAAGCTAGAAATGTTAGTCATTATCGTTTTAAGACTGAGGGTTAAGAATCGGGCAGACACTCAGGAAAGCAAGGAGAGGGGAGAAGGTATAGATTAACACCCCAAGGTGAGAAGCGGCAGGGAGCAGGACTGACGCGCATTTACATAGTGGTTGCCATATGCCAAGAACAGGAGCCTTATGAACTCCGACTCACAACTGACAGAGTGGAAGCACTGTAATTACCTCAGGTTACAGTGGGGAAAGCAAGTCACAGGAAGTTCAAACCTCCGTTCCATGGTCGCAGCGCTGACTGGAAGCACCCACAGCCTTCAGGGGCCCTGACCTTGAGCTGTCTTCCCCTCCAGCAAGCATTGCCCCTTGGCCATTCATTCATTCCATGGCGCACTTACCCAGGGAGCAGGCTGGGCCAGGACACTGCCTACCATTCACAGGGAGTAGCTTTGGTCATGTGCTTCAGCATAGAGAAGCAAGATGTCACCAGACAGACAAGGGAGAAAAGAGAAGCCTCCCGAGGACAAACTTGTGCAAAGTCCTTGAGGCACCTGACAGCTCCTCACACTTTTGGGGAATATGGAAGTCCTTGAATAACTTGGAGAGAGGCTGAGCAATTTCAGTTTTATGGACCAGTGAGGTCCTTCTTGAAAACATTTCAGCAACATTCCCCAAGGTACTGGTACCTAAAGCCCAGGGGAGGATGCTAGGATATGTGATTTAACACATGTGTAGGAGGTCTGACTCCAGGGTCCCTGGAGCACAGGCATTCTGATCAGAGGTAGAAGATCAGACTCAGTGTCAGTAGGATCAAGTATCCAGGGATAACCGTACAGGATCAGGGACAGGGACAGGCCCTGAGATGGAGAAGGCCAGGCTGGGCTGGGCCCAGGCAATGCAATGGGACCAGAGAGGACGGGCTCCTGCTGGGGTCTGAGGGATACAGCCAGTGCTCCCAGTGACTGACATGGGAAAAGGAGGAGTTCAGGGCTTGTGGGTCTACATGGTCCTGCCAGGCACGGGCATTAGCCCTGGTGACTGCAGTAGAGATGCTGCTACTGATTGGTGACACCACCTCCTTCCAGGCCCTGGCACTGGCCAGCACCTGGGGATGTGGCTGGGTGACTGATGGCCTGCCATAAGTCAGGCCCATGCAGAACCCACCCTTACCTGTCCCCACTGCAGGTTCACAGGCACTGCTGTCGCTGTGTTTGAAGGGGCCTACTTCGTGGCACAGCTGCTGGCCATCTGCTTTAAGTAAGTGTCCTCAGATGGGGCCCAATCAGCATCCACCAGACCCCAGAGCTTCTGCTTGTGGGGACATGGCAGGAACATCCTGCCTCTGGTCAGTGTGGAGGACAGAGTGCTTATCACGTTCCTTGTCATGCTCCCAGCCAAAGAACCAAGTGGTAGGTCCATCAGAGCTGTTCTGGCCCCGATCCTGGAGAGTCAGCTTTCCTGCCCAGGAATAGTCCCAAGGGCCCAGTGTACAGCCATCTCTGAGTGAGGACTCACAGAAGGCCCAGCTTGGGGAGTAGGGCTGGACATGAGTACCAGGACAGATCAGGGGCCATGAGCCTCTGCTGGGAGTCCCCACTGCTGCCCAGCCAACTCCCAGGGGGCAGACGCTGTTACCAGCGTGACCAGGGGCTGGGCCCAGACCTCTGGGTACCACATGGCCTGTGAGAGAGTCAGGCCCAAAACCTTGCTGCTTGGCACACCACCCAGGCCATGTCTAGAACAGCAGCAGGGACCTTGTGTCCCTCTGGTTGCACCTACTGCCAGAGACTCAGTAAGAACTGAAGAACTGTGGGAGGGGTGCGAAAGGGCATTTGACAGCTTTGCCAACACACACACACACACACACACACACACACACACACTCACACAGGCACCCATGCATACATATGCACACATGCATACATATGCACTTATGGCCAACAGGGGGCAGCAGAGGACTTGGTGTCCCTGGACCATACTCCTTCCCCAAAGCCAGCCTGGCCTAGGTGCTGCTGGCCACTGAGCACCCATCCATGGTCCCGCATACCTGTGCGGAAGAAATCCCTCATGATCTACCTTGCCAGGCCCCAAGAGCTAGGCATCCCCCATGCACACTCCTCTCTCCAATGCAGACTTCCCATGAGGACCTGTGCTTCCCACTTACCTTCCTTTGCCCTCGGTCACAAAGACAGAGTAGGCAGTCTTTCTGGAGGGGTCAAGCAAGCCTCTCACAGTGGAAGCCTCTTACTGAGGACCTGAGCTTTCTGTGAAGCCAGGCTTCCTCAGCTGGCGAGGTGTTAAGCCAGGGCCACTTCACCAATCTGGCCACACAGGGTGCCCAGCTCTCCAGGCCTTGCTAACCTTGCCTGCCTCCCAGGTGCCAGCCAGGGTCACTGGCCCATGCAGCGAGGGAGAAGGCCCACTGGCTGGGCTGTTTCCAGAAGTTCGTAGCCTATGTGCTGCTGTCGGTGGCCTGCTTCCTCCACCCAGTGCTGGTGTGGCATGTGACCATTCCAGGTAGGAGGGAGAGGAGGGCAAGAAGGGGACCTGCTCAGCCTGGGCCTTCTGACACCTGACTGCTGGGTGTGGGGGCTGTGGGTTGGGACTGGGAGCCTGGGGGAAACTCGGGATCCAAGATGTCTCATCCCTGCCCTGATGTCACCAGGCTCAATGCTCATTGTCACGGGTCTCGCCTACTTCCTGCTAAGCAAGCGCAAGAAGGCCAAGACTGGAGCTGCAGGGCTGGGCACCCCTGAGCAGTACAAAGACCCCTCAGGCAGCACTGTGAGCACCATGGACTCTGGGGACACAGAGCAGACCTACACCTTCCAAGGGGCCCTCACAGGGACGTCCAGCTCCCTATTCATCCGCATGAAGAGCTTCCTATGGGGAACGAGGGGAATGGGCAGTGTGCCCCACCCCAATACCATGACTGAGCTCCCACTACAGCCTGAAGAAGGCGTGGCCAAGAAAAAGCAGGTGCACTTCCAGGACAGCGTGGTCAGGATCATCCCATCCCTCGCTGAGACACCAGATGATGGGGACAGCGAGCCAGAGGAGACCACCTCCGACACAGCACCCATCATCCCAGCTTCCCAGGCCCCACGACTGCTGTCTTCGCTCGAGGTTCTGAATCTGTACTGAGTGGCTTGGTAAGGGAAATGCAGCCCATGGCCAATGCTGCCTGCCATGCAGGGAAGCATGGGGCCCTCACGGTCAGGTTCTCCTGAGTGACCAGGCTCCTCAAAGTGGCCAGTCCTCTGGGCCATCAGGGTTATGTGGAGTGATAACCTGGAAGGCACCAGAGAACCCAGAGTCCTCCCTCCTGACCACGGATGGGAAAACTCTTGCTGTTCTGAGATGGTGGCTCCCAGTCCACACTGGATGCAAGGTTACTGACTCTGCCTCCTGTAGACAAAGGACATTGACCTGGCAAAGGCCACTAGGCTGCCTGGCTCCTGGTCCAAAGCTTCTCAACTCTGAGAGCCTAGGGACAGTGGCGGCCAGAGCCGGCACAGGGTCAAAGGTAGATGTAGAAAGTGGCCATGGGTCCCAACCAAGATTGCTGCAGTGGAAACCAAGGCTACAGACTTCAACACTAGAGCAGCTGCTAAAAGCTGAATTCTGGATCACAGAGCCACCAGGGAAAAACACAGCTCTGTGTCCACTGCCAGGAGAGCTCATTCCTGAAGCACTGCTGAAGGCTTCCTAGCCCTAGGTCCCCCCAAAGTCCACACAGATAGGAGCCCAGGTACAGCCTGTGGGGCTAGCTGTGTCCCTACAGGACCACCAGCTGAGGCAGTCACAGCATGAGAAGTGACCTTGTCACATTAGCGCCTATCTGGGGACAGGTGGTGAACACAGGGCTGCTCACAGTCAGGGGAAAGAAGGCAGAGAGGGAGGAGGAGGGTCGGAGGTGGTGGGCAGGCTGGGTCTGCACTGTAGGCTGCAGAAGGGAAGTGAGCCAGCAGGAAGAAAGGAGTCAGAAGCAGACATTTCTTGGTAAAGGACTTGCAGTGTGGTGTCTTGGTAAAGGACTTGCAGTGTGGTGCCTACTTCTGGAAGGTGCAGGAAGGGCAGCCTTGTTGCTCCTCATGGTCAGCACAAAGCAGCTTGGTGGGCCTTGGATCACAAGGCTTGTGGTCTGCAGAGGGACACCTGTCCCTGCTTTAGACTTCTCAATGCATTGTCTTGCAAAGGTGTAGAAATGAGGCCCCGTAGAGGCTGGCAGTGTCTGTCACTTGGGTCCCCCTGCAGTTACCCACCCTTCTTTCACAGCCAAGGGTCAGTGGCTGATAGACACAACCATTGGAACCCTCATGCAGAGGACAGCAAGTTCTGATGGTGGTGGGGAGAGCACATGGTGTGGGAAATGGGCCAGGTGGGGGGTCCTGCCCATCACATATGGATTCTCATCTGAACATGATCACTACAGAACCCTGTGACATGGGGTGGCAGGTCCAGGGTGCCACAGTGGCCCCATCCCTGGATCACCAAGAGTGAACCAGAAGGTGCGAGCTTACCCTCTCCTTATCTGGTTAGGGTGTGTCAAGGGGAGGCATCCTTTGGGAAATCCAGGTGACATTTAGGCTTCATGAGGACCTTCACCAATTAACAGTCTGCTCTGGGTGCAGCATTAGCAAGCAAAGTTGGTTCCAGCTAGGGAGACAATGTGAAGCTCTCAAAAGGTCTTGCTGCTCCCAAAAATGTCATGAACAGACCTGGACTCTCACCAGATCACTGGGCCAGCTGCAGAAATGTCCCTCTACCTCATGAGCAGGTAAGGACATCCAGCTCCACCTGGCTCTCCTGAGCATTCACACCCAAGCCCCATCCCCTATTCCCTATTCCCTGTACCATAGCTGTAGAAACAACCCCTGAAGAAAATCAGCTGTTCTGCAGTGACTGTAGTCCACACTCAGCACAAACGGGAGCTGAAGCCCTATGGAGTGGGAAGGTGGTTGGCAAGGCAAAGTGCGCTGGGCTGGGACCACCCGTCTGCCACCAGCACAGCCCCATCTGCCACTGAAAAGAGCCCCTGATCTTGTTCAGTGTTGCTGCTTTTCACACACCACAGGAGAATCTGGAACTGGAGTGCTGAGATCTCGGCCAAGGACTTTCAGCTTACAGATCCCAGATCACAGCGAGGGCACTGCATCCCCATGGCTGGAGGCCTCTGGTAACAAAGCTCAGGGAATTTCCACTCCAGGCCCAGCCACAAGGGTGCTGGCCTTAACCCTAGAATGCAGGGCATCAGCCAGGGGAGGCCCCCTCTGCCAGTCCAGTGAGGCAGAAGCCACAGGGACCTCAAATCCCAGGGAGTCTGGCCCTGGCGTCTTCTTTCTCAACAGCCTTAGCTTGTTCTTGTTTTTATTTGGTTGGGTTGGTTTTAATTTTCTTAGTGTCTTTGTTGAGATGTAACTTGAATACCATAACATTTACCAGTTTAAAGGATACAGTTAAATGGTATTTTCTATATTTATAATTTAAGGTCACCACAATCACTACCATCAAAATTTACAACATTTTCAGAAAACATTTTCATTTCCAAAAAAAGAAAGCCACATTAGCACCCGTTAGCTGTGCCTCCCTTCTCCATCTCCTGCCCTATGCAGCCACCAATTTACTTTCTATAAATTTGCCTGTTCTGGGCATTCAATATAAATGGAACAACGCAGTAACATAATATGATCCTTTTCTTAAGAGCGTCTATCCCTCTATTGCTGTTTTCTGGCAGTAAGTCGTCTTCGTGCTTCAATTCCTTAAGTACAGTTTCCCTTAGTCCTTTGAGCACATTTTCCCCAGTCGCTTGGAGTCATCAACATTGAGGCCCCCTCAGAAGCTGGGTTTCATGGCTGCTTTCTCACTGCATTTCTTTTCCTACATTGAAACTTTGTTCTTAACCTCTGTCCTGAATATTTTGGTTAAATATATGGTGACTCTGGACACTAGTTCTCCCTCTTCTCCACCTGGGTTCTCATTTGCTTATTCACTTTTGTATTTATGGCTATGGCTGTATTGGTTTTCCCAGAACATTCAGCCGTTTTCCTTGTTTTTATCTTTCAGCCTACTTACCTAGGAATTTCCCCCTGGGTCTACATAAGCCATGTGTTGGTCAGAAGTTGTGACTAACTTTGTGACCATTTAGATATCTACCTTTGACCCTGCAGTGCCTCGAGCGAGGGCTTGGGCTCTTTTATCAGAGGGAGGCATTCATCCTTGTCCCTACATTCAACCAGGGACCCATAGCTTGGATGTCCTTTTTCTGATTGCAACTGAGAGAAGTAACTTCGAATATATAATGCTTTTTGCCTGAGTCTGAAGTGTGTGGAATTTATTTTTTAATTTCTAGGATTTTCCTTGGTCCAATTTTTGGTCAGAGGCTGTCCCTAAGAGCCCTGGGCCCCAGAGCCCTGACTTGGACTGTGTGCGTGGCTCCTTGGGCAGATGGGACTTGCTTGAGTCACTTTCTCACTGCTGGGACTCAATATCTGACACCCATGACTTAAAGGATGAGGGTCTACTTGGACTCCCGTTTTCATCCAGGGATGACTGGCTCCAGGGCAGGATACCAGGAGGGAGATAAACCCTTCCGGGTGGCAGCCTCAGGGACCTGCCTCTCCCAACCAGACCCTACCTCCTAATAGCAAGTCAGCTGCTGTTCCCCATGTCCAGCTGCCTTCCAAAAGTCCCACCTATGGACCCAAGAGGCCTTGGGGCAGCTAGATTTTAACCATAACAATGAACCTTCTTATGGGGCATAGGTGTCCTCCAGGGAGCCAGTTGCTGTACCCTCTCCAGTCTCCTAGATCCCTGCCTAGGAGCCAGAAGCCAAGAAGGATGAGGAGGACTGGTTAGCCTGGGGGACAGCTTTGTCCAGGACAGGATGTAGAGGAGTCCAACAATGGAGATCATGGGGAGGGTGACAGAATCACAACTCCCTGACCCTCCCGTGGAGGAAAAACAATGAGAAGTTACAAGCTAAGCCAGGAGGAGTAGGGAGGTGGTGGGCTGCACCCATCAGGGAACCAGCAGGGCAGGCCGGGGGCAGACTTGAGAACCATCACCGTGGTGGTGGCTGCGATGTAGTAGGTGCTCTTTGCTGAGAGCTCCTCAGTTTGCTGCATGCCCTTAAAACAAGCTCCAGAAATTTAAATGACTGACACTTCTAATTGTCTTGGTCACTTTCCTTAGCACTGGGATAAAATACCTGGCACCCACAACTTAAAGAAGTTTATTGTGGTTCATATTTTAGAAGTTTCCGTCCTTGTGTAGTCTGCTACAAGGCAGGACAGCATGGCAGAAGGGCCTGGCAGAGGACAGCTGTCTGCCCCATAGCAGTCAGGAAGCAGAGAGAGAAAGGAGGAGCCAAGAAGGATGATAAATCCTTCCAAGCAACACCCCAGGAGCCCTCTCTTCTGATCAGGCCCCACTCCCTAGTACCAAGCCAGCTGTCGGCCTCTGTGATCCAATCAAAATCTACAAGCCCAGTCTCTGAACATGAGGCTTTGGGGGCCCTCCAGATCTAAACCGTAACAATAATTTCCCAAGTAATTACTTCATTACAGAGAGGGTCCTCAGTTACTCTGAATCTGGAGGTGCTGCCCGCGGTCGACCTATTTGCTTTTGCCATGGCCATGACAAAATGGAGCATATGGAGGAGAACTTGAACTGAGAGCCAGGCTGGGTCCCTGTGTCTGCCTTCCCCTGCTGCACAGGCAAAGCTCAGGAGCCCCTCTGAGCCCTGACTTCCCCAGTATAAAGCGAGCTAGTGAGATTGCTCTCCCTGAGAAAGACAAAGATCAAGAGATGGATGAGAGATGTTCCCCCAGCTTTTGCCTTTTGTGCCTCCTTCGGGCTCCTCCTGGGCATGTGTGGCCCTACATCTCCCCGACAGTGGCTCCCTGGTCAGCTCTGCTGTCTCCAGGTCCCTGTCTTTCCTCAGCAGAGCCTGGAGCCCACACCTTGCCACTATGTTTGTCTGAGAAACTGCCATGGCCTCTTCTCCTGGGGTTGACCCCATCTCTCTCCCAGCTGGTCTCTCCAAGGAAACATACACATAGTTGGCCCACAGGGAAACCTCTGGCCCAGCCCCTCTGTGCACAAAGCGTCAAGTTTTCTCTGAAAGCTGGCCAGTTATTCAGCTGCCGAAGCCCTTGGCCTGGCTGCTGGTCTGCTAGAGGACAGTGTTCTCACAGCACAGAGGAGGGCTGTCCTTGATGGCTGGAACAAGGCTCTCTCATGGCGCCAACTGGCTAGCTTACCGCCTTTCATTGTCTAGAGGAGAGAACTGATATAGGAGATCAGCAGTGGCAAAAGTGGCGCACGGGTAAATGAGTGAAAGCTGTTTACCCCAAGACCCCAGGGCAACTTGAGGAACTTTTGTAGAACTTTTCATGAGCTTCCATCAGATGTGGCTGGCATGAAAAAAGAGCAGCCCTCCTGGAAAGCCTGTATCACAAAGGAGTTTGCAAAGTAGCCCCAGAAAATATGAATGCAATTTACACTTCTATTTTTGCTTTTATACTCTTCTTCTCTTTGTATGACCCAAATTTACTCTGCAGAGCTGATTTCTCCCATATCTGTTTACCCCACACTTTTCAAATAAACTTTCTTGGCTGTGTTATCATTTTGCTTTCCAATTCTTTGTTCCAGTCAAGAAGAACCTGGAATAGTTTTGATTGGCGAGCCATCTCTAAAGAAACTACCTTATAACAGAATCTACTTCTGACCTTCACAGAGAAAGAGGCATTTCCAGAAGCTGAATTAATTAATTAATTAATTAATTTATTTATTTATTTATTTATTTATTTGGTACAGGGTCTTGCTATGCAGCTCAGACTCTTAGTGATCCTCCTGTCTCAGCCTCCCCAGCACTGGGATATAGGTGTGCACCACTATGCCTGGTTTCGGTGGCCAGCTCAGTGTGCTTGGGATTCTGGGCCTGGCATGGCATGTGGTACCAGGAGTTGGACCCAGGTCTTTGCACTTGCCAGGCCGGTGCTTAGACTTCTGGCTAAG